CTAATGTTTGTATGTACACATGTACCTTCCATTGGTGGTTGGCTCGTACCAATGAAAGCTGGAAGTACTGGTGGAGGTTGACGACCTGCAAAAATAATATATACAACATTTTATCAATTCTGGTTAAACAATGATAAAATTCAGTCTTTTATACATGCATATCATTGTAACAATCAAAGTATTCTATTCTACACAGCAAGTTATCTTGAATCCCTCTAGTTTTTTTTTTAGTTTTTGTTGCAACTTTAAGTATTTGTATCACTGTATACATGATGCAAACTTACCAATAGTAGTCTCCTTCACAGTCGGCGCTGTTGAACCTGCAGATGAGTGGAGACAAGCTTTTTATTACATTTACCAAGTAAATAAGAAGGGAACATGTATACTTAATGTGAAAATTAACCAATAGAATCACAACAGTCACAGCTACAAATGAAAGTATTGGTGATGCAGAGATTCGATAATTAAGTTTTAATAACTTACCACATATATGGTCTGTACAGTTTAACATTCCCTCTTCACACGTGCTGTATAATATGAAATATATGTATCATCATTGCAATTTTGACATTAAACCATGAAATAAGTTTGTCTAAAGGTTTAACTATGACAAATCTATCTATATGAAAGCATACTGATGATATCCATAGTGTAGAAATTAAACTAATCTTAACCTTCTAGAATAATGTAAACAAATTATCAATTATCTATTTTACACAACAGCATTTTTTGGAGCTTTGATAAAATTTGGCTCTTATATATCTTGTGGTTGAGCACAGATAAGACTTGACCGGACATGACCTTGGACCTTGGAAACATATTGAGACCAAAATCTCCTATATTGCCTTGTCCAAATAATGTTTCATTTATTTCCAAATTGATAGTTTAATTGTGCATTTCAAATCAAATCCACTGGAAACAGAACATTTCATCAAATGCGCAGTCACAGTACACTGCCAGTCCATGTTTTGAACTGTAAAAAATCCCTTCAAATAAACTACTGTATGTGCTATCATCTTTGAAAAAAACTTGTATCAGTTCCTGACAATTTAACATCAATCTGTCTGAACAAAAAAAACTAACATGCAAACTTTCTTTGGCTATAACAAAGTATTTTCAAAATGATCAAAACTCAGGCTCTTCTCTGTTGCTGTTATCTTTCATATTTTGTACTACCCTCACCCATTGCTAGATAGGTTACCAGTAGAATGACAGTTTGGTTCAGATAAAATTCTGCTGCGTAAACCTAGCAAATATATGAGTAATTTTTCTTTAAGTATGATCTTCTCTTAAAAACAAATAATGTACTAGTATCTTACCAGTTGTTGCAGTCAATACGAATTATGGTATTAGGGTCTATGAGTTGTTCACTTGGTAGGAGTCTTGAAATAACTGCCAGAAAGTAACATAAATAATTGTCATATATGATGTTCACAGGACAATTTTTAGGAAACAACTTTGCATAGAAATACAGTGTTCTACAATCAGACACACTTGAATCAAATGAATAATGCTAATAGACTCACCAGTAGTTAGTGTAGGTCCACCAGGTCCTCCAGGCCCTCCAGGTCCTCCTGGTCCACCAGGTCCACCAGGCCCTCCAGGCCCTCCAGGTCCTCCTGGCTGTCCAGCATTTTCTGGTAGGGTGACACCTGGGGGCAAAGATGGTCCATCTGGTCCTCCAGGTCCTCCTGGGCCACCTGGTCCGCCAGGTCCCCCTGGTCCACCAGGACCACCAGGCCCCAAAGGTCCAAGTGGCTCATTTATATTGTCAGGTATTAGTGCCTTGTCTTCAGGGGTAGGTGTAGGTCCCCCTGGACCACCTGGGCCATTGGGTCCTCCAGGGCCATTTGGCCCTCCTGGCCCATTAGGACCACCAGGTCCATTTGGTCCACCTGGACCATCTGGCCCACCAGGTCCACCGGGTCCACCAGGTCCTCCTGGGCCACCTGGACCACCAGGGCCATTGGGTTTGCCAATATTTGGAGGTGTTGTTTCATCTGTTTCAAGAGGAGGGCCACCAGGTCCTCCTGGGCCCCCTGGTCCACCGGGTCCACCAGGACCTCCTGGCCCACCAGGACCTCCTGGCCCACCAGGTCCGCCTGGTCCTTCAGGTCCAAGTGGTCCACCAGGCCCAAATGGTTCACCTGGGTTATTAGGTTCCAGAGTTGGTCCTCCAGGTCCACCAGGTCCATTTGGTCCACCAGGGCCATCTACATCAAACAAAACATATCCCATATTGGGTTTAGTATTGTGCTTGACATTAAATCTATACGACATATGTCTCTAGTCAAAGTACAATAACCTCACTACAAAGATACATACTGTAGATTAGAGTTTAATAATAAAACACTTACTTGGGCCTCCTGGTCCACCTGGTCCTCCTGGTCCACCTGGTCCACCTGGTCCGAGGATTCCACCAGGGCCACCTGGCTCACCTGGTTCTGCCAAGGATGATACTGGAGTCGTCAAAACTGAACAGAAATGGTGACAATACAAAGTTATCTCATGTAAATACAAATTGCATCATATTTGATGTAACTAAAATCTTCATTAAAATCATTAAAAACATAGAAAACACATAATTTATTTATTTTATGAATGGATTGGATGAATTTTATTGTTGTGGCATCAGATTTGAAATAATCATAAATATGTCTCATAATTCATAGTAAAAGGCAAAGTAGTAACTCATTTCTCATTCGATGAACAGTCAGGCATGTTATATATTAATAATTGCCTGGGACATTTTCAAGTAATAAGGTATGTTGTATACTAGGGTTGTGAATGATTTTTGCTCAAATCTTGAACAAAATATGACGCATGCCTATAATCCAATATCATGCCTATTTAGTTACAGATGGATGTGATGCTAAATTTGAGTGAAATCAACCTGTTCATCTCTGAGAAATAGTTGGAAATGTTTATAAACTGCAATTTCAGGATTTTAGGCAGAATGGCCATCAATTCAACACATTTGATCAAACAAAAAAATGACACAACCCAGAGTATAATCTAAGAGTATGGTATGCAAACTTTCAACTGAATCAGGCAATATATTAGTGAGTAATCACATTGGACAAGAGCAACTTAAGACAAATTGGTCACAAGTCAGCTATTTTTGTTCAAATCTCCAAAAAATTACCTTTAACCAAATATGCATGATCATGATTACAAATGAATGAAATCACTCTGTTCATTTCTGAGAAATGATTCTGAACATGTTTATAAACTGAAAGTTCAGGTATTTAGATAAAACAGCCATCAATACCACAAATTTGATTGAATCACAAAATAACAAAATTGCATCACATAATCCCTGTGAGTTTAAGAAATACATAAAGTTTGAACATGAACATTCATTTGAAAAACAAAATGATGTGCAATCATGGCTTCATAATGTCCATTGTATGTAATCAAGTTTGACCAAAATCCATTCATACATGACCAAGATCCGTTTCTGGAATGGCAGAAATGCTTGATTTTGCTAATTTTTTTTGCACTAAAATGGCCACCATTCGGCCATCTTGACCCAGAGAATGAAACGATTATGTTGCTCAAGATATGTGATGTATTTGTGATATTTGAATGTAATTGGACCAGTCATGTCTGAGATACAGGTGGAGACACACAGACATACACAGACCGAGGTGAAACGTAAGTCCTCATTTTCAAAAACAAAATGGCCACCAGGCGGTCATTTTATTTGAATCTCAAACAAAATATTACATGCACCTGTAACCAAATATGCATGATCATGATACAAAGTTTGAAAGGAATTGCCATGTTTATCACCAAAGAGCAGTCATGAACATGTTTAAAATGGCCACCAATCCATTGATGTGCATATGAAATTCATCATACATGGTTTGAATGTGATTGGTCAAAAAACAGGATTGGCTCCAGGTACACGAACAGTACCCAAATTAATACTGTAAAATACTTTAAATTATTTTAACTGGAATTAATTTTCGCTGAAAAGACTTTTTGGTCGTTTTGTATTGAAATTCATTTTCATTGATTTATGACGAGTTGAATGTAAAATATAGAAAAAAAGGTATATTTGCTGGAAATAGCGAAAATTAATTCCAAGCAAAAATATATTTATAAAAAATATATTTTTTATAAATGGGGACTAATAAGTATACATGTAAGTATACAAATAATTGCCAGATAGATATTTATTAGTAATGAGACCTGGTTTTACTGGTTTCAATATTTGTCCACCATGACATTATTACTGTACTGAAACTATAAAACTGATTGAATTACCTGTGGTGAGAGGCTGTCCTCCTGGTCCACCCGGTCCACCAGGCCCATAGGGTCCCCCAGGGCCACCTATACCCTGAGGCCCTCCTGGACCACCTGGTCCTCCTGGACCTCCTGGTTTGCCAATATCATCAGGAAGAGTTTGGTCTGAAGTCAGTGGTGGGCCATCAGGCCCTCCTGGTCCCCCAGGCCCTCCTGGTCCACCTGGTCCTCCAGGCCCACCTGGGCCTCCTGGTCCCCCTGGACCTCCTGGACCCCCTGGACCCAAAGGTTCTAAAACATTTGTTGGTATCTTATCCTGTTCTTCCGGAGTTGGAGTGGGTCCACCAGGACCACCAGGTCCATTGGGCCCACCAGGTCCATTTGGTCCACCTGGTCCACCAGGCCCTCCTGGCCCATTAGGTCCACCAGGTCCATCAGGTCCACCAGGTCCCCCTGGACCACCAGGGCCACCAGGACCCTCTGGACCACCAGGTCCACCGGGTTCACCAGCATTGAATGGTACTGTTTCATCAGTTGCAAGTGTTGGCCCACCAGGTCCTCCTGGACCTCCTGGCCCACCTGGTCCACCAGGTCCACCAGGACCACCTGGGCCGCCAGGTCCACCAGGTCCACCTGGACCATTAGGCCCAAGTGGTGTACCTGGTTCATGAGCATCTTCTGGAGAAATAGTTGGCCCACCAGGTCCTCCTGGACCATTTGGCCCACCTGGTCCATTGGGTCCTCCTGGTCCATCTGCATTAGTAAAACAGTGACATTTAAATATACAGCATGTATGTGCAGAAGATAAAATTGTTAGCTTCAGGTTTGTTTGTTTCTTAGAATAGTAATTATTCTTGTATGAATTATTAAACACTAAAGACACATTTAATATAATATTGTAAATTTATAGCTTATTTATAGTAATAACACATACTTGGTCCCCCTGGTCCACCAGGGCCCATCGGTCCTCCTGGTCCTCCCGGTTCACCTGGTGCAATTCCCATAGGAGTTACAACTGATGGAAATAATTAATAGAGAATTAACTTGTTATACAAGTGTGACAAATCACATTGAATTGTGTCTATATAGTATATCAAATGAGTGAACCTACGATATCAGATTTATTAGTAGTAATTTTCATTTGTTCCAAGCTTTTTGCAAGGAACAAGTGAAAATTACTATATAATACAAGTTTAATAAATCAGATTGTAGAGTTACAAATTTGATATCCTATCCTATCCTAAGGTATTTGTTTTACATCTTCTAAAGGCTAAAAACAAACACAGTAATCATAATGTGTTAGTTCTGGCTCATTTGCATGAAGCACCATGCAATTACTAATAGTTTACCCTTATCACATTGATAAATATATTTACTTGGAACATATCACTATATTTATGGTTTCAAGATGTATTGTTTGTTTCACAATCTTTGAAAATTGATGCTAGACTAGGGTGAAACACATTTCTGCACTCAGAGAAATTGTATTGCTGTATTGCCATGGTATATGGGATTACGCTGTATTGCCATGGTATATGGGATTACACTGTATTGCCATGGTATATGGGATTACGCTGTATTGCCATGGTATATGGGATTACGCTGTATTGCCATGTTATATGGGATTACGCTGTATTGCCATGGTATATGGGATTACGCTGTATTGCCATGGTATATGGGATTACACTGTATTGCCATGGTATATGGGATTACGCTGTATTGTAATGGTATATGGCATTACGCTGTATTGCCATGATATATGGGATTATGCTGTATTGCCATGATATATGGGATTACGCTGTATTGTAATGGTATATGGCATTACGCTGTATTGCCATGATATATGGGATTACACTGTATTGCCATGGTATATGGGATTACGCTGTATTGCCATGATATATGGCATTACGCTGCATTGCCATGATATATGGGATTATGCTGTATTGCCATGATATATGGGATTATGCTGTATTGCCATGATATATGGGATTACATTGTATTGCCATGATATATGGGATTATGCTGTATTGCCATGATATATGAGATTACACTGTATTGCCATGGTATATGGGATTACGCTGTATTGCCATGGTATATGGGATTACGCTGTATTGTAATGGTATATGGCATTACGCTGCATTGCCATGATATATGGGATTATGCTGTATTGCCATGATATATGGGATTACACTGTATTGCCATGGTATATGGGATTACGCTGTATTGCCATGATATATGGCATTACGCTGCATTGCCATGATATATGGGATTACGCTGTATTGCCATGATTTATGGGATTACACTGTATTGCCATGGTATATGGGATTACGCTGTATTGCCATGATATATGACATTACGCTGCATTGCCATGATATATGGGATTATGCTGTATTGCCATGATATATGGGATTACACTGTATTGCCAAGGTATATGGGACTATATTGTATTGCCATGGTATATGGGACTATGCTGTATTGCTATGATATATGGAATTAGGCTGTATTGCCATGATATATGGGATTATGCTGTATTGCAATGATATATGGGATTACACTGTATTGCCAAGGTATATGGGACTGTATTGTATTGTCATGGTATATGGGACTATGCTGTATTGCCATGATATATGGAATTAGGCTGTATTGCCAAGGTATATAGGATTAGGCTGTATTGCAAGAGATGTTACCTGGTATTGTGGTTACACGCTCAACTACTTCGGCACCCTCAAATATGCTCATATCAAATGGACATTTACAATCAGCTTTTTCTACACATTCTCCATCTTGCTCCACTGTATTCAACGGACATCGGCATCCAGGTACACATGCACCATCATCAACACATTCTGTTGTTTTAGATATATCTCCACACGTAGCTGGACATACTGGAATGTCGTCGCAATTCTCAACAAATACTCTACCATCAGTACATGTTGTCCCTTGAAAAGAAGATAATTAGCATTCATTTATTAATATACAGAATATATCAACATATGATATTGATGTACACTCCACAACTGATTGCATTTGGCTTCCAGGCAAAAAACTATTCAAACAGATTATTGTGTGACATTGTTAAAAAATAAGTGCTGTAACATCGCTTGTGTTGTTTATTTATACTGTCCAATGACAGTATGATCCTGTACAACAGAATCAAATTTCTGAGGGTTCAAATTCAAATAGGTATTGAATAGTGATTAAATCAGCTACCATGTGCAAATATGTATATTAATTGTCCCAGATTTGAACACTATATAAACGTGTGAGCATTTCAAGAGAATTCATCCACAAACCGTGATCATGCTGTATATGAAAATAAATATACCTGGCTATGTGATTAGTTATTATGCACAAATGTTATATCTACCTTCACATGGGTCTGTATTGCATTGTTTGCTTTCAGCGTCAGTGCCTCTACATTGGTCACTTTCTTCTCCTGTATTTTGATTCTCACATCCCCTGGTCCTTATCTGTACACCACCATTACATGTCACTGAACAATCGCTCCATGGTGACCATGACGTCCAAACATCTGTAATAAGTATTTGTTCAGTATTATGATTCATTCATTAGAAAAATTGCTAGGTTTTATTATTTAAGCAAACGACCCGCATAAACAAGTTGGAAATATTGGGTAAATGTGCAAAATTTATTTTCTATATAATTGTCTTCATAATCTGAAAGCTCAATATTAAATAAAATGTAACCTACCACAATCTTCGTGTGTGCAGTTCATTATACCACTCTCACACGTGCTATAATAAAATGACAATAAATAACATATTAATACATGTTAAATTTTTGTTATAGTCTTAATGGGTCCTGATTTCCTAATTTGCAAACGCAAATCTTGTTTGAGCAACTTTAATGGGTATTCTCTTGAACAAGTATTGGTGACTTAATATGTACCCTAATTTTTCCAACAAATACATACCTCTACCAATTAATATAAATTTACATAAAGTATGCCAAGGTAACAACAAAAGATTTTTTACAAATAATGTGACTCGTATTAAAAAAATTAAATATCTTACCATACACTGCAATTCAGGTGGACTATTGTATTCCTATCAATATACCGTTCAAGTGGAGATACTGTTGTTACTACTGGTGTAATTACTACACATACAGCAAATATAAGAAACAAATATAAATTAAATGCTTAAAATAATGTCTTGGGAGAATATGTAGTTATTTGTATTATTATTCAGAACTTGCATGCATGTACTGTCATATAAAGTCATTTATTGAATATGTTACTCTGCAAGTAAACACACCTGTGGTTATTTTAGGTCCTCCAGGTCCTCCAGGACCTCCTGGTCCACCAGGACCTCCAGGTCCACCCGGTCCGAATGGACCACCAGGACCAAATGGTCCTCCTGGTCCATTAGGCTCACCAATATTTGGAGGGAGTGTCACATCTGTAGCTAAAGTTGGCCCATCTGGCCCACCCGGCCCTCCTGGGCCTCCAGGTCCACCTGGCCCTCCTGGACCTCCAGGACCGCCTGGGCCTCCTGGTCCACCAGGACCACCTGGTCCTAAAGGTTCTAAAACATCTTCAGGTATTTCATCTTCTTCTTCTGGGGTAGGCGTGGGTCCTCCAGGTCCCCCAGGACCATTTGGTTCCCCAGGCCCATTAGGCCCACCAGGTCCATTGGGTCCC